TGATCCAGCGTTGCTATTCTGCTTGGTTTCTATCACCGATCATTAAAAAAAAAAAAAAAAAAAAAGGCGTCGAATGGGCATTTTATACTCAGCTAAGATTTTTATTAAAATAAGCTTAACACTTTACGCAAACAATTCTTCAAAGGCGTGGGCGCAAACGCAAACAAGTAGTGAAACATCTTCAAAGAAAAAACAAAGGCTGCGCAGGGAACATTTTCATCAAACTCACTCATTCTCTCTCTCTCTCTCTCTCTATCTATCTATCTATCTATCTCTATCTCTCTCTTACTTCTTCTCACTCTGCCCCTCTCTCACACACACATATACACACACGTTTTTTTTTTAATTTCATATCACTCCAGTTTGTCAGATTTGTTAATCTTCAACTTTCACTACATGCAATGTCTGGATTTTTCCAAATCTAACATTGCAGTTGTGAAGAATTAAAGTTCAGACCTGGGACAAGATTAAGGAGAAAGCATCGAGACACTTGATAAGAGTTCGGAAAATAAATACGTATGTAACGATGTGATATATTTATACATATGTATAAAATATCAAGCATAGATCAAGTATCGATAGGAATCCGACAAAAGGATAGGATAAAGAACAAGTTGGAAAAAGATCTTAATCTAACATGTTTCATTTTATAAAAGCTTTCGTCAGTGAACTAAATAGAAATGTTAAAAAGCAAAAAAACACAGATTAATGATATGTCGTGTGTAGTTATTTCTTATTGGTCAGATATGTGTCACGTGTAATGAAGTAACAGATAAAATTCAAATATGTATGAGACGCTATCTGGACGCAAAACTGTGTAAAAGTTACTAAGATGCTGCAGGATGTTTGGAAAATTTTTTTTTTTGATATATATATATATATATATATATATATATATATATATATAATAAAAAGGATTAAACACTGATATTCCATGGTTATAATTTATTACATTGGAATCGTAATTACGATCTAATTCCACAGACATACAAATTCAAAAAGAAATCAGAAAAATAACTCCGAGAATAAAAAAATAAAATTTAGTGAGAGTGTATGTATGAGAGTGGGGGACGAATGTAAGAGGTAAATGAAAGCTCTAGAGAGGGGTGCAACAGAAGAAAGAAGAACAGGAAGGCCTAAAGGTGAAGGTGGGGATTCAAATTTAACAGAGAGAAGTTTTAAGGCAGGAGTTAAAAGACAGTTTAAATGATTGAGAAACAGATAAATATGAATTATTTCCGATGCATTATTCATTACTGAATCGCTGACCTAAATAAAAACCGACACCGGAAATGGGTGTATACATTTGTAGTGACACTAAGCACAATAAAAGACCATATAATCTAAACTTAAAAATCGGAAGATGAATTTACTTATTTAAAAATATGGTTCCACTGAATTAATTTATTTATTTAAAAATATGGTTCCATGAATTTACTTATTTAAAAATATGGTTCCATCGCTACACAGGAATTACCATATTTCAAAAACAGAACCTAAAAACTTCAAATTCAATTATAGAATTAAATTAAATTAAAGTCCCTATTTCTGTTTCATTTTCCAGAGAATTTTGGAATAACTTATTTTGAAATTTACTGAGTTTCATAAGCACATACTTTCATAATATTAGTTTCTATGGATATGGGGAAATCCAATCATTTTAACAAGGATCAGTAGGGTATTCTTTTTCACTGACAACTATTGTATCAAAATATCAGTTACTTTCGAAAAGGGGTTAAATCAAGGCAGGGTAGGAGTGTCTTTTTCAAACCAATGATGACATCCGTTCAACGCATGTCGTCTGGTCTTTTTCAACGACAGAATGCTTTTCGGCACTTTTGTTTCGCCGTTAAATTTGAACTTGTATACATAAAGATTTTTTCTGAAAGCGTTGTTTCTATATGAATACGTTGTATTGAACTACAATTTTAAAATATTATTCTTAATTTTAATAATAGACTAGACATCTTTTAAAACAAATAAATGTAATAGATTTACTTAAATTATTTAAAAACTATTATTTAAATATCAAATATAAATATGTATATTTCATTTATCATTTTTTCTTTTTCTTTTTTAAACTTTACTTAAGGAACATTTTTGACAATAGCTATTTCATCTATATATATATATATATATATATATAGATAGATAGATAGATAGATGTAGAGAGAGAATGAGAGCGAGAGAGAAAGAAAGACAGTATCAATAGATAAATAGATAGATAGATAGTAGAGAAAGATTGTCAACCTATGCTTCTTAGAGAATGTTTGGTATATTAAAACGGTAAGAAAAATTCGGAGAGGAATAATAATATTAATAATAATAATCTGCAACTTCTACGGGAAGGAAACTAAAAGAAACTGGTATGAACACCACCCAGACCCGGTTACGGAGATAGGACCTGTTACAATTCTATGGGACTACACTATACACACTGACAGAACAATCAAGGCCAACCGGCCAGATATTGTTATTAAAGACCACAAACAAAAACGATGCCTCCTTATTGATATGGCAGTCCCTGCTGACTGCAATGTATCTTTGAAGATATTCAAAAAGTTGTCAAAGTACAAGGACCTTGAAATAGAAATCTCGAAATTGTGGCATATGGGAACATCAACAATCCCTGTTGTAGTTGGAGCCCTAGGACTGGTTGGAAAAGATTGCAGTAGACTAATTGAAGGGATTCATGGAAGTCCATGCCTCAAGGAGATACAAAAAAAATGTTCTGACAAGTACAGCCCACACCTTACGAAGGGCTTTATCTATGTAATTTAATTCTTTTTTTTTTTTTTTTATCAGTGGAAAGTGTCATGACGCCATTTCTAACCTTAGGTCCCTTGGCGGGACCCGGAAAGAAATGTGTAAACGCCAGAAATCAAAGAAAATAAAAATAAAAATAATAATAATAATATCTGCACTGGAAAATATGCATTTTTTACGAGAAGAAAAATGCAAGAAACTGGTATGAACATCGCCTAGACCCGGTTACAGAGAATAGGACTTGAAACAATTTTATGTAACGTTACAATCCACATAGACAAAACAATCAAGGCCATTTGCCCAGGGACCGTGATCAAAGATTACAAGAACAGAATCTGCTTTCTTATTTGACATGGAATTCCCTGCAGATTTTAGTTCATTTTTGAAGATCTTCAAAAAATATCAAGATACAAGGATCTTCAGTCGAAAAATCAAAAATATGGCGCATGTAGATATCAATACTTCCAGTGGTAGTTGGGGAACTTGGATTAATTGGAATATGGCCCGATATACTTACTGCAGGGATTTCAAGTAGCCCATGACTTATAGAAATACAAAACATTATACTCACAAGTACAGCTCACACATAACGAAGATCTTTATCGATGTACAATGTGTATGATATATATATATATATATTTTTACAATAAGAAAAAGGTCAGTGGAAAATGTCAGGGAGCCATATCTGACCCTAGATCTCTGGTTGGGACCCAAAAGAAAATGTGTATACAACAGATACCAAAGCAAATAATAATAATAACAACAATAACAGCAACAACAACAACAATATTAATAATAATAATAATAATAATAATTATTATTATTATTATTATTATTATTATTATTTTACACCAGTACATTATATAATTTTCTATTCCAGATGGCTGACACGAACTCTTACAGTTTGGAAGAAAAGTAGGCGATGGCAAGATTTTCGGGCCACCCTGTATATTATTAGGCGATTAGACAAAATAGAACCATGACAAAATTAAAAAAAAAACAGAATTTTCAGACTATATATATATATATATATGTGTGTGTGTGTGTGTGTGTGTGTGTGTGTGTGTGTGTGTGTGTAACACATAAGCCCACACACACACACACACACACACACATATATATATATATATATATATATATATATATATACATGAATTATTCACACAAAACTAATGCAAAGGTTTTTGATTTAAATGGCGAGACATCCATCCCGCAAACAATTCAAATAGTACAAAAAAACCTCCAGATCCGTTATGAATGAATTGATCCTTGTTTATATAAATTTCTGCCGTTATTAGTTGTTATTTTTGGAGTTTATAAGCTTTCGTCTGTTCCTACAGACATCTTCAGTATATAATAGATGTTGTTCTTTGTTTTTTCTCGGTAAGGCAGGACATCGAAAATATATGTGCATTGTATCCGAAATGCTATTGAAAATGAGACGAAATTTTTTTTGAACGCGCCAAAGCAACATTGAGTTTGATTAAAAATTTTTTAAAGTGTTTATGCGTTTATACCAAATATGGTAATGAACAAATTATTTTACTCTATAATTTTACTGTCAAAGTGGCATGAAAATATATTGTAAAATAATTATATATATATAATTAATATATATATAGGTATGTTTGAAATAACATATAAATTATACATCTATTAAATGCTTATTTTAAGAAAAAACGTTATTTTATTTAGGAGAAAAGCTACCTACCAAAGGCAATGGGCCATTTGCCCCTCCAGGTTATTCCTCTTAAGAACTCAGTATATATATATATATATAGCTACTTATGATTCCGGATTTCAATCTTTGCCAATTTCGTTTCCATCAAATAGAGTACCCTCTGATATTCACAGCACCAGAAATGCGATTAGATTATCGATTGATTTCTGAACAAATATTGATTTAGAGGAGGGGGAATTGTATAACGATTTTTAATAGCCCCGCCGCTAAATCGATTAAGCTTTACCGGTGCCAGCTAAGCGTTCTACGCTGACACCAGTTCTCCAAAAGAAAGAAAACTGCAGTTACTTCCGCCCTATCCTGCATTTAAAATGTTAGTTCACCATCCACGTATCCTGCGTCACTATAAACTTCACTAGAGCTGACATGTCGCGCGATATTGGACAATATTGCCGTCGGGCACTGATTGCTAAGCTGCAATGAATGAGCATTTGCTGCCGTTATCAGTCAAAGCAAAATTTAGTAAGGAAGGGCGAATTGTAGATGGACGCCTTACAGCCATGTCACGTTGGAACACCACTTCTCGCGCGATCACCGAAGTTAAGCAACGTCGAGCCTGGTCAGTACCTAGATGGGTACGTGCTTGGGAATAACAGCTACTGCAAACTTGGATGAGCGGTTGGTGTAATGGATAAACGCTTGGGATTTGAAATCGGAGAGTCGAGTTCCAGTTTCAGTCGCGTTCGTCATATTCGCTTGCGCGCCAAACAGCACGACTGATACCACCTCTCTCCGACCAGAGCTCAATACAGGGTATATATATATATATATATATATATATATATATATATATATATATATATATATCAGGCACATAAATCATAACCTGTGGTTGATCCTCCAAATATTGGTTTCTACTAATGTACTGAGCCCGATTTTTTAAATTAATGTTTCACAAGTTTTCATTTGAATTTATAATTGATTCGTTCATCTGATTTATATATATATATATATATATATATATATATATATATATATATATATGATGGACTCTAAAGTAAATAGTTTTCGACGTATGGATCTAATTCTTTGAGTTCAGATTTTTTTAATGTTTATATTTAATTGATGAGTTCATCTGTCCTATATATAGATTTATAAAAAATATCATCAGGGACATCCTGAAGCGTTGACCGTCATATAGGTTTTTATGTTTATATATAGTTATCAGTCCTTGTTGAGATTTGCAAAATTCTCATCACACACACACATACACATATATATATCTATCTATCTATCTATCTATCTATATATATATATATATATATATATATATATATATATATGTAATGACAGAAACTCTGACACAGACAAATTCTTCGAGAACGAATGCGATATGTGTCATACCCTTGGGAAAGATATGAAACCAAATCTTCTCCCCTATCTATGGGTTAATTAGTGAGACTTTTAGCCGTAAAGCATTATAATTAACCCCAAATTCATGCATTCTAAAATATTATCTGTATTTAAATATTCTGTAAAAGATTGATAAGCAGTAAAAACCAAATCAGCTTATCAGTGCTTGTGAAGAGAATGAAAGAAGCTAAATTTTCGTGCACTAGATAACCATCAGCCATTGAAAATATATCCGTGATTGCGTCAGATTTTTACGACGAACAGACACTACTGTCTCGACTGTCGATTAGTTGTTCTATGTCCATTGTCTGTGATGGACGTTACTCCAAAGAGGCGTACGAAAATTGTAACGCTGCAAGAACACATTGGCAAGCCTTACCAGTGAGCAAATCAAAGTATTATAGACTGGCCCGGAAATTCTCCTGATTTAAATCCAATCGAGAATCTCTGGTCAATCTGTAAGAAACGACATTGTGGTATAGACATACGAAGCATTAACATATACGCTGGGTTATTTCTCATTGGAAAAATACAAAAAAAAAAAGGAATTATTAACGAATTATTCGTTTGTTTTAAATAATTTGCAAAAGTATATATATATATATATATATATATATATATATATATATATATATATATATATATATAAAATTATTTATGAAAAAATATGATTCCAACACGCTACATAAGAGTTCTCATAAACTTCAATATAATTATTTGAATTAAATTGAATTAACGTACTAAGCTCTGTTCCATCTTCAAGCGAAATTTTTTGGTGAATAACTTATTGCTAAAATTTACGCGTTTTATAAGCATATTCATTTTTGAGATCGAAATTACTATGGTAACGGCTAGAGCAAAAGTTTAAAGAAAAGGGGAGTAAGATGTTAATATTTTGTATCAATATTTTATATATATATATATATATATATATATATATAGTCATACACAACTCATCAGTGTGGTTAGATGTCCTATTGCTTCAAGCCAGGATCGAAACCCGACAGATTTGGCATCAGTTAGACAACCTACTCATTAAGCTATCGGCGCATGTTAGAGAAAGGAATGTTAACATATTATATACGAGATGTTTACAAACGCCAGTAGCTAAGATGGCTCAATTATATATATATATATATATATATATATATATATATATATATATATATATATATATATAGACAATTTTCATGTTTATACATTCTTTTTATAGATACAAATATTTAAGTAAATGTTCTCTTTAAAATAAACAGTATAAACATTTAGGGGCCCGAATGTCCGAGAAATCTTCATAGGAAATATGCGTCGTCCGACAGGAATCGAACCTGTATCCTATACGGAACTGTCATAAAACCAATTGGGCCACAGAGGAGCGTTCAGTTAGCAATGTCGATTTTACTGTTTTTAAACACAATTCTCCATTATTTTTTTCTCGTCCATTCATATCTGCTCGATACGTATCCAAATATAAGTAAATGACGTCCATTTATATATATATATATATATATATATATATATGTATATATATATATATATATAGTTGGATTGATGTGAGTTTCTGACCCTCGGTTTCACGCTTTTGCGATCGTCAGACAAACGGATTAATCTTTTTGAAATTTTGTATTTATGTAGGGTTGCGTGTATTGGTGTATTTATGGACACAGGAGGAAAAATTGTCACTCATACTTATGCATATATATACACTTCTGTACACACATTGCTCGTATATATATATATATATATATATATATATATATATATATATATATATATATATATATATAGTTTATGCAAATTTAGGTAATCCGTATGGGTAGACCTGAGGAGGATGATATCCAGAGAGCTCAATGTAAAATTCAGAGCAGATATGTTTGAATAAAAGACAGACCCCGTTAAGATTCCATGTAATAAGTTATTTCACCATAACCCTTTTTAACAGGGTTCTGGATCATCAGACTTTACTTCCAAAAGCTGAAATGAAAAATGAGAAGAAATTCACACATTTTTTTACGGACCTCATCAAGTATACGCAAAGTTAACGAAGTGAGGAAGTGAGGTGGGAGAGAGGATATGAGTGTGTCATATGTATCATTTTAGTTTCCTATTTTAACCCCAGTGTGTCGGCTGGATGTTGCTCAAATTTAAAGCGTCTCGTCTCTAGATAAAGGTGGCTAAGGGGTGAACGATAAGAACTACATTAAAGGAAGACGTTACAACAACACCAATAAATTACACGACAGGTTTCATTCAAATTCTTAGACGTTGTCAGTTCGCGTTACTTTAACGTGCATATTTGGGAGGTTAAGGTTTGATAAATATCTAAATTTTAAAACAATCTACGAAGGAATTTTTTTTTTCCATTAACACTTTTATCTTATAGCTTGTTAGGTTGACATTTATTCGTTTGATTTTTGTTCATTAAGTAAACTCGTGATTGTTTTTGATTTTTGTTCATTAAGTAAACTCGTGGTTGTTTTTATGTACCCAATTATCAACAGTTATTCCCATTTAAATAATTTTATTCTCCACACTGGGGTAGTATCTTTCAAACTCAATTAAAATACCAATCTAAACTTTCCCTTCGTGCTATTTAAAATTCACTTCCAATTGGAGAATATTAGAGGAGAAATTTGGAAGAGATTTCACTAGCAGAAAATTAGGCCCTTCTTTTACAATTTCTTATCTACACATGTCTTAAACCCCTATTTGTAACCACATACCTATATCTTCTTATATGCCTATGAGTTCCTATATACACCTACACACACATTCACACGTAACGATATATGTATATTTCCATCTTTACACATATACACCTGCAGAGAAAACGCACAGCCACATGTCTCCATGCCTATCTCCATATATACTTATACTTACATATATACATATACACACAAGGACATCTGCATATCCATATATACTCATACGCACATATATATATATTTACACATCCATACGTATACACATATACACATACATACACACACCCATATATTCATACATACATACATACATATACATACACACACATATGCATATGCATACGCAATATGCAGAATATCTACATACCCACATATGCGTTAATTTGCACTTACATATATCTACCCACGTATTTGTCCCTATCCTCATGTCCACCCGTGCATCCACTTATGCCTGCGTTCGAAGACTGTCTCAGTATTTAATTACATTATCTATATCTTTACACATATAATATTACCCGATCTTTCATATTTATGGCAAAACATATAAGTACCTATCTAATTGTACATCTCCACACACAAAAAAAAAACTGGTATGCTTCGTTTTCTGTATAAAAAACATATACATGTACATATCAACAGGTGTCTCAGTGTGCAAATACATTATCATAGTTGTATACATATAGTCATGTGTTAGTGTGTGCATAGTAATATTTCTAAAAACAAAGGGAATATAAAACATTCAAAATTGCTGTTCCTATATGATTATTTCTTAGTGTACTTGCTTAGGTTTAGGCTGTTTTTGTGCCGGCATTTAAAAACTAGTTCATTGTGTCTATTTAGTAGTATGTCTGGATCTTTACTTCATGAATTTAAGCATTCTATTAGGCTGACATCTCGCTCTCACCCTTTCTCTTTCGAAACTGTTAAATGTAGCCGTCTCTTCTACTCTAGTAGCTTCATGTCTCGTTCTCGCTTGTGGAACTTCTTCCCCTTTTCCTGTTTCCCTGATAGCTATAATCTTCAACTATTCAAATGTAATGTCAATCGACGTCTCCAGATGTCTTGATCTATCCCTTATCTTTCTCTTCATCCCTTCCTCTATCACTCCTCTTTACTCTCGATCCAACTCTCTGTAACGCTTTGCGTGCTAGTGGCTTCCCGCTTTGTTTCGGGTGAAACGCTAAAAAAAAAAAAAAAAAAAAAAAAACACAATTTACGCCTATTCGCTATACTCATAAAATATGGAGGCTCACTTTAAGGCTTGTCACTTTTGGCTTCTTAAATTGGGAAGAAATTTCGTGTTCACGCATGTGCAATGAAATTTGAATTAACTGATCGACAACTTACTCATGGAGTCCCAACTGACACTTGAAATATTCGAATCAACTTGATACTTTCTCGACATTTGGGAAATGTGCGAGAAGGGTGAGCAGCGCATTGATTATTTGAAGGGAAAATGAAATTTATAATGTAGATTTTACTCACATCGTACCGATATCAATGAGAAAGACATCAGCCGATTGTCGTAGGTATGAAGATTAACTACATCC